GCAACGAATTTCACGTGTGCTATTTACATTTTTCGCATTTTATGTTTGCATTACAATTAGTTTTCAAACTTATTTTAAAATTCCCTCACGGTTTCGACAGTTTCATTTTACTTTATAGGAAAGCAATTAGCGAAATTTTGCTATTTAACAGTTAAAGTTAATTGAGGTATGTTTCTCATAATTTCTGGTAATTATCGGGTGATTATATTATGACCATTAATGAGGGTAATAAAGTATTCTACTGTAATTTTCTAAAATAAAATTCCATGAAATTGAGTCCTTACCGCCATGTTGAGACCAAATAAGCCAACATTCGAATCTTAGTAAAAAATAGTACTTAAAATTCTACGATCGAAAAGTTATAACATTTATAAATCAGAAAAAAAATCTTCTGAGAAAAATCAGAAGTATATGGAGCTTAAAAGACTTGTTAGAGTATCCAAAACGTGAAATTTTATTGACAATTTTAGCCAATATTTTACTTATTTTTCATCGGATTTGAAAAAAGAAAACTTATAAGGGATCTCATTGCCTTTAATCTGAATAAAAATATAATACAAACTGACAAATTAGATACCAGCTTTAAAAGACTTTAATTGACTTTAGTTAAAGAACTTTTTTGGTACTAATAGTTCTTCGCCTTCATTTAAACTTCAGCTATTAAAAGAAGAATATTAAATTTCTGCAACTTTGGTTTTTTCTCCCTCAAGTTCATAATACATCTTCGACCTAAATGTATTTGGCTGAAAACAGCAACACAGTTCACTTATCATCCACTTTGCACGCAACATCAACTAGTCGACTTGTCTCGCTGTTTCTGTCTAAGGGAAAAAGTGAAAAATATTTGTTTATCTCAACATATCTAACTGTTAGGCTACACAACTGCATTTTCCTTTCCGGTGCACACTCCGTACCCCCGGCTGAATGTGAATCCGAAAATGGGGAAATATGTATGCGAATCCTTGGCTAGCCTCAGGCGTGCTGTTTTTCTGTTTTGGCTTTGATTTTGATTTATGTTGCAGCAAACACAGTCAACTGAAGTAGAAGGAACAGCCGCCGCCGTGGACCAACCCCAGAAACCTCATTTGCTACTTACTTTGTCGCATCATTTCACCATAGACGACGACACTCCCTGCCAGCCCACAGGCTCCACTATGGTATTCCGAGGCATCCGAGCTCCAAAAACTCTAACCGCAGCTGGGAAACGCATGCCAACGCATGGACGCTGTGATTTGTCTCTAGTTTTGTTGTTCTTCAGCAGGATTCTTTCAGGCGACAGGGTAAATGTTTTTCATCCCCTGAAGGTTTCTAACATAATTGTGGTGGTGGTCGTGGTAACCTTTAAGTATTCAAGAATATATATTTAAAATAGTTCATACCAATACATCATACTATAATCGAAAGGCTTTTATTAATTAAAATTCTTTAGACCTTATTAAAAATAACTAATATTTTTTAAAGAAGTGTACTACGTTGTCAAAAACTTTGAAAGTAAAATAGTATATTGAGTGTTTACGTCTCATAGAACTCAAAATTTTGGTGGTAAAAGTAGCGGTGGTAAAAGTAGCATCTACCATGACAGTTGGCAAAGAGACAAACTTGCTTTTAGCCCAACTCAAAGACGTAGAAAAATATACATATATATAAGGGCAAAAACTACCAAAACGCTTTGTTTGACTTAAATTTATGGTGATGTTTCTTTTTTGTTGTTACTTGGCAAGCTCCCAGCTGACTCATAGGAAGTGCCTGAGAATGGCAGACAGTGTCTGGTGTCTGGTCTGTCTGACAGTTCTTTTTCCAGAAATGTTTTAATTCCTCGGGCTCGACACCATAATTTACACACTCGTACTCCCGGGGTTTCCAGCTGGTTGGTCGGCCATAAAATTCTTGTTTGACTTGCATTCCCGCCAATAATTATGTTTGCACATTTATGTAGTCTTTGGCGGCGCTTATTAAAATTTATATGACAATTCGTTAGTTTGTTGTCTGACAGAATGATACAATGGGCTCCTTGCGAAGCTCTTGATTATTTTTTGTGGCCATAATTCGGAGGAGGGATGTCTGATGTTTGCACTGGAATTCCATTGTAGTTTATTTTTGGTTTTATTAGCTATTCCTTTTTGGTCCTCAACATATGCCCATCAAGGATGATTGCATACTTTCTGGGTGCTACGCCTGTTTATGTGGCTAGTGAGCCTCCAAGCACGCACTAAAAAGTCCGCCATTGAATGGCTTCATATTTTTTATGATTTTATCAGTAAGCTCGCAAAAAAGGAATATTTTTTGAACATAACTTTTGGTTTGATAGTTAAGCGATTTTTATGTGGCTAACGTTGTCGATATATTGTTACAATGTTGCCGAATAGCTTTATATTCAATATTTTAAAACGCATTAGTTTTACTCACTGAACTTGTCGAGACTTTGTATGACTTATGATCTAATTTATTTTGAAACTCAAACCCGAAACTTCTGGGAGACCATAAAGCAGCTTAAAATGTTCGGTCCGGCTAATTAGGGTGCCAGCAAGTAAAAATAACATCTCCCAGAAGCTTAAGAGCTTCCTTCATGAATTTCAGATACTCAGACCATACAACTCAAAACTTAAGACCAGCAGAGGAGAACCAAAACCAGAAACATACAAAATAAATGTGCCGGAATCCAAAGAGAATTTTCCATTAACGCACGTATGCTCGAGTCGAAGACCAAGACTGGTTATGCTTTTCGCATTGCAACAAAAAGAATTTGAAGTTCGGTTTGTGTATTCTTGGACGATGTGAAGCCAACATGGCAAACTGTCTGACAAAACCTCAACGTGCCACTAAAAGCATAATCATGCACTTAAGTAAAGCCCATCCGAAGGAAGTTGTAACTGCCAGGTGAGAGGGGTGCCTGGGGCTGGGGCAGGGGCTGCTGAGGTGCCAAAGCAACGCGCGTAGAACTTAAGTCATCATCATATAAATAAAAATTTATGACTTTAACTGGGGCTGTGCGTGAGTTTGTTTGTTCGGTCACGAGTGTGGAATGGAGCCCCGAGGTCATGGTTTATGGTGTGAATGGTGTGTTGAAAGTTAGGGAGTTGTGGCGACATATGTGACTTTAATCGCATTTTCTTTCTCCTCAGCTACTTATAGTAGGATTTTAAAATAGTTCAGGACAGTTTAGTAGTAAATAGGAACGATTTGGAGAAGTAATATTCTACAAGAGAAGAATTATTAAGTTCCAAGAAAAATTTAAGTGGGCAACACGTCGTATGAGTGATGTTTTCTAAATATAGAAATATCCTACTTATAGTAGGATTTCAAAATAGTTAAGGTCGATTTAGTAGTAAATAGGGACAATTTGGGTAAGTAATATTTTACAAGAGAAAAATTATGTTTCATGAAAAATTAAAGTTGGCAACACGTCGTATGAGTGATATCTTCTAAAAATAATGTCTATTTATAAATATATCACATTTTCCCTTAGCCTAAATAAGCCCCTTAATATATGTTTGCTGGTAATGCGACAAACTAACGAGGGAAAGCTGCTTTCTCGGCTACTTTTCAAGTTAAAGTTATTATCCTGAGGGCAGGGCAAGTCCTTCAAGTGGCGTTTCTCTTATGCCAGACTTGACAAAACTCAGCAGACTTTTGAATAAATTTTCTATCTCCAGGACAACGGCTGCAGGACTAAGAGCCGGGAAGTGACACAGACGAAAACATCAGGGAAATTCAGCGTTATGAATATGTAGCTACAGCTTCTTAAAAGTGTTCGTGTTGTTGGCTAAGTGAAAAGCTAAAGCCAAGTTGCGCCTGCAACATTTTTAAAAGCGGCTTTACTTTCCCTCTAAGACTCTGGCTTTATTAAATTTTTTTTTTTCCCCCAGCGAAAACTTTTGCCAGCTGCAGCCAACAAAGAAAAAGAACTATCCGGAATAGAATAGAAAGTTCTCTGGCTTTCGCAATCGTGTACTTCTTATTTGGTTTCATGTTAAATGCTTTTAGCCGCTTTTGTGAAGAACTTTTGGACGGAGTTGCGCTCGAAATGACAAACGATTTTCGTATTCGGACGAATTATGATTTAATTTCTGTTGATTCAGTGATAAGAAATGGAAATTAATTAGGCCACTAAACAGCTGATAACAAATCCCCAATTAAAAATGGGGCAATTAAATGTAATGCCATCCAAAGCAGAGGAATGTCACAGCACCAAGCGAATGCGGTCCGAACGAAGTGCGACCATTTCTCTTTGTGGTCAACCGCCATTAACGTTTATTACACCCACCGATGGCGGCAAAAACCAAAGAGCACATGAACAAAAAGACAGCCCCGAAAGGAAAAAACCAAATGAAATAAAGAAACCAACAACAGCAATGGGCGAAAAAAATATAATTAAAAATAAACATTACGCGGTGACAGACAATGGACGAAAACGAAGAAAATTCACAATCCAAGGAAAGAAAAAGTAAAAAAAAATGCCACAGGACCAACAGAGAAATGGGTAATAAAGGAAAGCAGCGGCCGCCAGGTGAAAATTGCATTAGTCTGGGGGGACAGCGGGCTAAAGACAAAGGCCGAGAGTGCAAAAAGGACATCAGATCGGAGGGCCATCTTGGTCGCACTGGGCAGCCGCATTTTAGGCGCTTAATTGAGCGTTTTAGTTATGCTAATTGTTTGTGAACCAGAATAAGGAAAACAACCTAACGGCCAGATGCGAGATGTCCTTTCGGATTTCATTACAGGTCCCCAGCCTCCAGACCTGGGCACCGTTTATTGTTTGCCATTTGTTTAAGGGGAGATCTCGAGCTCATTACAGCGTGTAGCTCCTAAGATGGTTTTGGGGCAGATTCATGAGTAATTTGTCCAGGGATTCCAACAAATGTGTGCCAATTAATTATGTTAGTCTTTGCAGAACAAAAGATGATGAAGAGCTATAAATAATAAAATATAAAGAAAATATTTATTGAAATTTCTATCCACCCCAAATGAAAAGAATTTCTCCTTTTAGTTCTCTTCTGATTTTTATTTTGATTATCTACCGTAAATACTTATAATATACATATCTTTTATCCATCTTTCTATCTTGTTCCAATTATATATTATATACAAGTACAATACATATATTCTTTTACATGTGTAGGCAATATTTAAACTTAGGATCTAATTGCTTAACTTCGCCGTTTGTTTGCTTTTTGGTTTTGTGGCAAATACATTTAGGCATATTAAGTATAACTTTATATAGTACATATACATATATATAAACATCATTTATATGATTTATAAATAATCTTGACTTTGATATATAAATATATATATAAATGTATAGTGAACTAAGAATTAAAAGCTTAGCACAACATGTTTCGTTTTCTGGCTTTTCGACTCATCTAATGAAACGAAAACTAAGTGGGTGGAGCGGCTTCCAAATGGTTTCAAATCATTCGAATATAAATAGTTTTGTGGAGTCCATCTTGAATTCATAATTTCATTAATTAATTAAGCATACACTCTAAAGCTTTTCCTGAAATTTGTATGAGCCGGAAACCATTTCGAACCCTCTAGCTCCTCCGCCTCGGAAAGGTGAACAAATAAGTATCGCTGCAGCGTTTTTCTTGTCATTTTATTTTGTATTTTCACTTAAATGCCTCTGAAGTTACTTGAGCTAGCTGAAACGAGTGTCTTCTGTGGTAGTGTAGGTGTGTTAATATTTTAGATACATTTTGCAGTTGCTTCTGGGTCTTGGCCTTGGGCTGAAATAGTTCCCATATCCTTTTCTTTCTTATTCAGCTGGACTCTCTCGACCACCTCTACTTCCGTTAGCGTCTCCTTCTCCGTTTCTGTTTTTGGTTTGAATCCCATGTCCTCCATATCCCTTCCATCCCTGAAGTGTGGCACTAGAGTTGCGTGACAATTGAATCATGTTAATTGCCGGGTGCATCTGCTGCTTCTGTTTGTGCTGATGGTGATGGTGCTGCATCCTTGCCAGCTGCAGTCGGAGGCCCGCAGGCCTTTCTTGTGCTTTGTTGCGATGACCCGCATAGCGTGTGTCCGCCGGATTTGACAGTGCCTCCTGCCCGGGCGGCCCTGGTTGCATTGGTTGCCCTGGCTGCGCGAGTTTTGAGCTTTGCAGGTGTTGTACACATTCTCGGTCTTTGACGCCGCATCCAGCGGCGACGACACTAATTGCCTGCCGAGCGTCCAACTGAGCGCCGCCAGCAACAGTCCGCCTCCGCCTGCCGCCCACGACGGACTTGGACGGGAGCTGGACGAGCCGGCTCCTCGCCAGGCTGCGCCCCCATCCTCCACACCGTTGCCCATGCCGTCGTCTTCTTCGCCTGGGAATACAAAATAAAACAAGGCTAGCGAGAAATAGAAAGAGACGCAGACAAATGCAGGTCATGTATTCAATGTTCTTTTGTAGTTGGCAATTTTTCGTCTAACTGACTACAGGGGAACTTGTGTAACTTGAACCAAAGTGTCAATCAATTTATGGTCTTAGTAGAAAATTGGTATAAAAGAGCCATGGAAGTTTCTAAATAATAGAATACTTCCCAACTCCCCTAAGGTAGATTGCCCAATAAAAACTAAAATTCAAAATACACAAGTTCAACTGTAGCCTCATATTTCTTTTTTTTTTCTCTAGTGTATATGGATAAGTGTGTCTTAGCACTAATTGGCTGTTCTACTCACCCTGCAGGTGCGTCAGGAGGCCACTCTTCTTGCTGTGGAACTGGTCTTCCTCGTGAAGAGTATACTGGTCATAGAACTCGTCGGGGCTAACCCTATTTCCATTAGCCCCATTTCCGTATTTTGTGAAAGGATCCACCTCGAGAACAATCTTTTCGGTGGTCTTCCAATAAATGTCATGCAGTTGGGCACTGCACCGAAGCTATAAAGGGGAGTATTAAAGACCAGCCACCACATTAAATTCTACTTGATTTACCTTTAGCTTTCCATTGTCAAAGTGCTGATCGGTTACAACAAAATGTATGCCAACTATTGAGGATTCCAGGTCATTGCGGGATTCTCGAATAACTTTGTGGTGACGCACGTGTGATGGATTCACCTGAAAAAAATTAGGAAAATATTTAAAAATTGAATATTTGTCAAAGGATGTACAATCTTATTCTAGACATTTAATTCAGTCACATAGCTTGTTGAAAGTCCAAACATTTATGAATATGAGTTCAATGGACTTTGCTCCCATAGATATTTGACATATTTTCCATTTTGTCAGCTTTAATTGACTTCTGGACGGCTGAATAATTTGCTTTATGCACCAGAGTGACCGATTAGCAATCCTAGATATTTCGTTTTTGTGGGAAACATTGGCTTTTGTACATGTTACTCGATTATTTCGCAAGTGGTTCTCTACGTATGCCGGGCTTGTGGTATGTTTATGGTGGTTTGTTTTTGTTTTTACTTTTTTTTCTGTATTGTTTAAGCGTATTTTGTGAGCGACGGCGAGTGGCGGGTGAGGTGTGTAGAGGATTAGGGACATTCAATCGACCAAGCGTGGCCAACTCGACTAAACTCAACTCAATTCGCCAACCAATTCAGCGCCATTCGCGTTTCTATTCACCCAAACCCGCCATTGTGGTTTGTCTGTATGTTTGTATTGATGCATCTGTATGTGTGTATTTTATGTGTGTGTGTGTGTTAGTGAGAAGGAGGAAAATGGACGTGTGCGTGTTGGCTTTGTTTTCCGACTGGCTGTAACCCGTTTTCAGTTTCCGGTGGAGCTGCTCCTATAATGCAGCATCAATAAGCATTGTTTGCTGTTGACTGATGCTGAAATTGCAGTTGCCGTCTCTTTCTGCGATAAGCTCCCCTCTCACTCTGCTCTTTGCCTTTTTTGTGCCGGAAATGAAAGCTAATTATTTAGGCAAGCGTCTTTTATTATTTAATTTCCCATATGGCTGATGGCATGTTCACGCCAAATTAAACAGGGCATTGTTTGTAAGGATTAAACAAAAATATGATTTAAGTTCTAGATCTAGACTCTGGAGGGTAGCCAGTTGTATTAGACGATTCTAAGGATACTTTGAAATAACTTTTTAAATAGACATATAACCACTGACTCGTCTGGTGGGCCTATTTAAATAAACGGATGCGAGAAGTTAATGGTACGGTTTCCCACTCCCTACGGGAACATTAATTTTCACCCGTAACCGGAGTGCTTGCCACGGACGTGTACACGTTCAGTGGGCGTAGGTCTCGACAAGTGGAAAATATAATTGAGAAATGTAAAATGCAAAGCTGTGAAAATTGTCCCCCGACTCGAGGGTACTTTCAGACCTCTCTTAATTCCGCACATTTCCCAGGACCAGAACCAGGCCCATTTCCATTTTCATTTTCATATCCGTATCCCCCGATTGCCAGATACGATGTGCACATATGCACAAATGTATGGATGAAACGATGGCCGAAAAAAATAAAAATTACACCTAAAATTTGACGTTCTGGGCATGGGCGGCATAATGTATGGTTATAGGAGAAGCTGGGATGCGTTGATCTCCACGAATGCGTGTGTTTTTCTGGTAATTACAGAACGAGCTTAACCCCTATTCCCGGACACCACTATACCCCGTTTCCAAAAACAGACGCATAAATTTCGACCAGATGCCAGAGCTTGAAAACAAGAAAATTGTGTTTGCATAATTCCCGGCGCTTGCAGGGGCGTCGAATATGCAGTGTTGTCGGAGCAGGGGGCTAAGGCGGTGCTTTTCAAAAGGGGGGCGGTACTCACCTCTTCATTATTCACTGTCCATGTGAGATTGGCCGCCGGTCGCGAGTGGCGCGATGTGCAATTACCTCGCAATATGTCGCCGACCCGATATCGAGCCCGTATGCCCGTTATGAATGGCGGATTGTGCGGCGTTTCTGCAATGGAAGAGTAGAGCATGAGAGTAAAACGAGATAGCAGCAGTTTACAGGTGAACCAGATCTCTTGTCACTATATTTTTGATACTCTGCGGCATTCGGAAAAACCAGAATGCGGCCAAAGCCCTGACCCCACCTGTCCGCCTGTCAATTGGGATTGCTAAGTGGGTGTGTGCGTGTAAAGGATATGTGGGTGTGTGTGTGTGCAACAATCAATGGCCGACAGTTCCATCTGTTTGTGTGTGTCTGTAAGAGGCCATTTCATAATTGAAATAATTACGAGTTCTCCAGGGCAGTTTCCCCGGACCTACCATTTAATTGCATGCTGCAGCCTGGATCTCAAAAATCTTTACATCAATGCAACTCGAGCACTCTTAAGGATATTTTCGACAAAAATAATTTATCTTACTGTCCATCATCTGGAAATTTGGAATGTCGGAATGGAGACCAGCCAGTCGCACACATCCGCATTTGTGACACAAAACATGAAATACACACTTCCCAAAGTTTGTCAAGCCAATTTAAGCTTACCTACGTCAACAAATCCAGCCCGTCAGAGGATCTTCCACCCACTACATTACTATCCGCCCACTATAGCCCACTCTATATACGTTCAGTTTGTCAGTTTATTGACCGTCTCTTAAACCATTGGCAAAACATTTGCTCTCAAGGTCTTTATTTTGTTTGCTGGCTTAAATATCTTCATCTTTATCTCGTTTAGCCTCAAATTTGTTTGTACTTTGTCCGCTTTCCTGCCAAAACATTCGAACTCGGAGTTTATTTTTAAGTTTTATGTCCAAAGTCTTAGACCCCACACACATTGCCCCGGCTCAGACTCGGTTCGCCCAATTGAATATGACAGTTGGTCGACTTGGCAAGTTTGCATTGCCTCCGGGAATCAAAGTTGAAAAGTTTTTTTAATTTACTTTTTGACATGCCACTTTAAATAAAAATTAATTAAGTTTTGAGGAACAAACATTTTTACTCAGGATATAAAATCCCGTTCCGATCCAGAAACTATTTAATAAAAGCGAGAATAATGGGCGCAGGAACGATTTCTTTTACCGATTTTTTCCGAGAGCCTCCGGGTTTTTTTTTTACTTACCAATAACTTCCAATTCGGCGGCCGCTATTAATGTATGAAATGAGGGCGCATCCGCAGATACTTCGCAACTGTATTTACCGGATGTAGCCATTGTAACTGCATCGAGTACCACTTGGCTCTCGTTCGAGGACATTCGCTGTAAAAGGCAAAAAAAAAAGGATGGTATTGAGGATATGCGAGTGCACACAATAAAAATTCGATTTTATTTTAAAATCCAGAACGTACATATATTCATATTTATTTATACATATCGTATTTGCTGGCCAGATGAAACATTGTCCAACAAACGTATCTCCCTGGATTGCTTCCGGTTTCTATATATTCAGTAGTAAAATATTTTTTTCACATTTTACGAGGCTTTCAATAATAAAGATGAAAACGAATATGCATTCTTTGGCCATCGACGAGGCTTTTATTCAAACATTCAGTTTTATGTTTTCACATACCTTATAATTGCTACACAAAAAGAATCACTATTTCGAATTTAAGTTCAGGTATTGAAGAATGCTTTATTTCAGGTATTTTTAACCTTTTATTTTTTATCCTTTTTTTAACCTGTGTTTGCCATTCTATATTGGCGGGAAACGTTTCTATTCTTCTGCCATTGTCACTATATTTGATAGAGAATAGCTCTTCAAATGGTAAAGAATGTTTTATCTTATTTTTTCTCACATGAGTTGGAAAAATAGATTTGAATGAAAAATAGAAATTCCAACACAAAAGCCGTATGCAAATAAATAAAATGCCAACGTGTTTCTTTATATGCCTGAATAATTTTTGAACCAATTTAAAAATGCCAATATTTATTGAAAAATATTGTCAGCTACCTCCAACGTATTTCGAAACTAAAAAACAAAAATAAAAAAAAATGGTAAAAAGTTCAGGTCCCGAAACGGAATCTCAATGTTCAGAGAATGTGGATATGTGCGCGATTCTATTTTTCCGGCTCGTAACTGCGATGAAGCGGAAGTTAAAAACCGTGTTTTGATTTGATTGTGCATTGAAATTTCTCGTGATTCCATCCATCTACTCCCCACACTGCCGACAATTCTTTTTAACTGTAGCTACGCGTTCAATTTGAATGCCCTGGAAATGCAAATGTTTTACATTGTTGAAGCCGCAACCCGTTTAGTTTAGTTTAATTTATTTGGTTCATGTGTTTTGCGTGTCTTTTTTTTTTTTTATTGGGGGTGCATGTGGCATGCATGGAACCAACACACAAATCTGTGGGTGGAATATTTTTAGGATTTTTAAATAACAGGTTCTCTAGTACCTTTCAAAGTTGCGAACAATGTCTGTTGATAGTTTGATGGCCATATTGACAACATTTTAAATCACAGCCTTGAATAAACTATCATTTTATCGTCTATTTATAGGACCTAAAGGAACTATTCTACAAAGATTTGAAACTATAGCATTTCAAAATGCAAATGGCCAAAATAATATTCTTGTTTGCTTTATTTTGGGAGTCCCTCCTTGTAATTTAATCCTCATATGTATGCAAATACATAGTTTGTTTATGAACTCACCCTCACTTTGACACCTGGAAAGTGAAAGACTTTCATTGGCGGCGTCTCCTTTGGTGTATATCGGTAGAACTCCCGCCTTCCCTTGTACCACTTCACGGAGTACAAGCTGTCGTCCTCGATGTCATAGAAGCATTTTAGAATCGCCTTCTCGTTGCGCCTCACCGCATGGGGCACACGCACTCGGACATCTCGTAATGCGGCGATCAGCTCTGAAATGAAAAAATAACACAAAAAAATTAAAAACAAACCTTCCAACAAGTCCATTAAATCATTTGGGGCAATAATGCTTTCAACGCATCGGACCTGAAAAGGGGACTAAATAAACAATTCCCACAGGCTTTGTCTAATAGGAATCAACTGGAGGCGATAAAAAATCATCACAGGCTCATTTTTAATTTACAATTTGCTTTTATTTTATTATCAATTTCATTTTTGTTTTATGACAATCGCCGCCCTTGTTTTTCTACTTTGGTTTACGGCGTTGTGCATAATTTATGGCGGACACTTTGTGTTTTATTATTTGGAATTTTTATTAAATAAATCCCAAACGGCTTTTATTGACTCAACGATTCCCATGATATTTTAGATGCTTGTCGGATGTACTGATTTACCCTTCTGCAAAAATAAACAATCGATTTGAATATGATATTATGAATGAATATATTAATTTAATCTGATGGATAATGCAACCGGAACTTTACATGAATAATATTCTATATTTTTTATGATTTTTTTTGTTAAAGCAGGGTATATTCATTTCGACCAGACTCTGTTGGTTTTAGCCATTTTTAATATTTAGTCTGATCACGTATTGACATGACTTTGGGCACGGCTTTATGCCACAAATCTCTAACTGACTGAACTCTCTCTCCTACACCAAAGCGCCCGCACAGACTTTCATTCATACATGTTTAATACAGGAAAATTTGTACATCTTTTTTCACTGTTTTATTGAAGGATATTTTCACCCTGACTTGGCAAAATAAATCGGCTTATAACAAAGCGGAAGACCTGGAAAAGGCCCGTGGGTTAAGGTGGCCCAACCCTTCTGATATTCTGTTTGAATTTATTACATTCCTGTAATAAAATATGAATATATCACTGTCTGATTTTGACATTAAAGATGACATTAAAAATTTTTTGCATTTAGCAGGCCATCAAACACTTTTCGCTAAACACTAGGGACTAATTTAATGAGAGAATTTATTAGTTAATCGGTTTTGAAGACAGCCTGCATTCAGGCTGTGGTCAAGAAGTTACGTTTCATTTAAAATATGGAACGGAAATCCTCAACCGCAGCCCGGCAAATTGCATTGCCCTTGAGACATCCTCAAACCTCAATTTCCTTTTATTATGACTCCATTCTCCAGCCAGTCCTGCCACTCATGTCTGCCCCACTGTCATTTAGCGCCTTGTGCCTTCTGTGGCTCCCATTTCATGCCACACTAAATAGACAAGGTTGCAACAATCCGGCAACAAATGAATGTCCAAACAACCCGGCACGAGTGTGGGAGGTGCATTGTAAATCCCATCAAATAACTGTAATTGCAAAGTTTTTACAGCCAGACACGAGCCGCACGCCTACTGCTGTAAGAGGGGGCCCCAGAATGGATACTACTTCGGCCCCATCCCCACTCCCACTCCCACTACCACCTCCATCCCTCCCGCAGCAAGAACAATGCACATGCAACCAGGCCATTTGTCCGGGGAGGTGGCCTGCATAGAAGAGCACCACCAGGACTCCAGTGGCAGGACTACTCCTCCGACCAACTCGGAGGAGGTGGAACTTCTCACAACGTGTGCAATAAATATGAATAACGAGCACAACGTGAGTGGCATACAAAGTAAAAACGAGACCGCACTCGACGTGGCACTGGTGGCAGGGAAAGGGCAATGCCAGATTCTACGGGACGGGTGTCCTTGGGGACCATCCTGCCTCATCCGGCCTCATTGTTGGCGACACGCGGCGGCAAATATTTGCCTTTGCTGCTGTGCTTTTGTTTAAATCTTGTTTATGCAACATGCACGGCATATATTAAGAAGTGGCGACCAGACTCGTCCCATCTCGAGTGTCAAACAAATGTCCGGCAGCCCTGTGATTTACACCCGGCCACCGCCATATCCTCGAAGAGACCCAAGTGTTGGCCCAGTTAACAGATTGTTCTGCGGGCTGGTTACTTTTGTCCAGCTCAAGGACTTTAGTTGGATTATGGGAGAGCGTGTAATCGAATTGGGCAACGGGCTGTGTCCTTGCAGGCTTCAAATCTGGTAAATCCAAATGGAATGTTAACCTGAGAAGGGTGAAAGAAGGGAGTATAATAATGGCATACTTCATTGCTGTGAACTCTTGTCAACTTTTGAAATACATTATCCCCCTGGAGTTAATGACATTTCAAGTTTTTACCTGACCGGCCCTTTCCTTTGCCCCGAGTTGTTGAAATTATGACACATTCTGTCAAAGCATGTTTCGGAAAGTTCAGACCAGCTAATTGAAAAGACTAAAACTAGAAAGAAGCAAACTGAAAGTTTCGGCAAACTATGAGCCCTCGACCCCACCGCATTATGACCTCAACTGGCACATAATTTCCCTTCCACATGAAGTCCTGGCCAAGAGCAGCATTTGCCTGACTGACCACACAGTTTACCCCAAGAAACTGGCGAATAACTATGAGTTCCTTGGCCAAGTGGAAACTTTGCAAAGTCCAAGTTTATGGGGCTTGGCTTTTGAAATGTGCATAACGCCGACTTACACTTGCACTCAAGCAACAGATGGGAAAGGCGGCAATCTACAGTTTTAATTTTCTATTAGCCTGGTCGACGAGTTCACAAAACTTGCCCAGATCACTGGGGTTGCTCTCTCTAGCAATCCTGTCGAGCAATTACCCCCGACATCGGGACATATCTGGGGAGTTGTGGCGCCAAATTTATCATAATTTGTGCTGACGTTAAAAATGCAAAATCGCTTCACAGTGTAACCCAATACCACAGTTCTATGTAGCTCTGCAAAACCCATAACGGCCACTATTAGTGTCCCCGAGTTGGGTAGTCATTATTCAGTCAGATTTGACTACCATCTGGGGTTATCAGTCTCCCTCTGGCCGTAGCCAAGCCGAGAAGGGAGGTCCTTTCCGGGCTGTTTATTCAGGCGGACTTGACGCCATCGCGTCGGGGATGCTCGACTCGATGTCTGTCGTCCTTTGGGGGTGGCTTGAAAAATTGTTGACAATTCTAGCTTAATGCATTTTTATGTCACTTCTTCTGGTTTGGCGAAAATGAATGCTGCCACTGCCACTGCTGTTACTGCTGCTGCTGCTGTTGTTGTTGTTTGTCCTGCACAAACACAAACAAAAACACATCCAGTCAGTCACTCACATATGAGCACTCCTCGCTGCACTCGTTGTGCCACCAATTCTGACCAAGTTGAAGCGAAAACCCATCCTGGGCCACACCACCCCCATCTCAGTGTTGCCTTTGCCGGATCGGTGGAGCCATTCAACGCCGACATTCAGGACTCTGTGGCTGGGTTCTGTGTCTTTCCTTTGTGTTGATTATGAAATTTAAGCACAAAAACCCCGGTCTCAGTCTGGGTTCCCCTCTTTGTTTACGCTTAAAGAGTTTGCTGCTCGGTGTTTGCCATTTAATGGCACATTTTCCACTTTTCCTCACAGACAAATTGTACTCCGTTTGGTTTAGGGGTTTGGGGCTTTTTCATTAAATTTAATGTCTTTCTATGTAACTTTGAACAGATTTCAGCCAGAGTGTTGGCAGTGTTTCATCCCCAACGCCTACAAGTATCCTCAGGCGTACTCTAATGGAATTAACTAAAAAAGCTTACCCTCAATATATTTAGTTAAAACTCTATTAAAAACTAAAATACTAAAAACATACCTAATTTAGATTTCAAAGGTTCAAATACTTCTTTAAATAGGTACTTTAATCAAAGAGACTAATAATGGTTCCTTAATAGACCCTTTGGCTATGTCTAAGACCTTTCATAATCGCCCTGTTCTGATTCAGAATCAAGGAACGAACCCTCGAGCAACGACAAATCCAACAAGTCTTAGCCACTTTTGCTTTGGAGTGCAAAAGGCAAAGCCAACTTAACGTCCTTGGCCATTTATTTAAAAACTAAATAAGACAAGCATCGCTAAATCGCCAACTAAGCTCATAAAATCCCACGAACAAGTGGCCAAGTGTAAAGCAACGTGGGAAATGTTCAAGTACGAGAAAGGGAGGGCGGATAGATTGCGAGAGAGATAGCGCATAGTTTGGTGGAACTGGAACTGGGGAGGTCGCGAGGTGAAAAGCTATGAAAAAGTGCCGGGGATCAAACAACTGAAAGCGAACACAGTCACACGGCTTGGCTAAGTAATAAAAGAAAAATACGAGTAAAAATGGTGGCCTCCAGAAGGATTTTAGAAATGAAAAAAGTAGAAAACCCAAGCGTTTTATGTGGTGTCTGCTCTCTTTTTTAAAACCAACACCTTCCAGACCCTTCAGACCCTCCTGGCCCCGACTGCTGGTGCCTTTTGGAAAACCCTTGACTCACTCCTTTGTGCACGGTTTCTAATCTAACACTGGAAATTGTGCAGGAATTTGTTGCAATGAGCTTTTTATTATCCATTTTCGATCCTTCGCTCCCTGTCTAACCCATACATGTGTGGCAATCGGCGGTCTTTTTCTACCTCCTTCTCCCTTTCTCTTTCCTTTTTTTGGCATTTTTTGCACGCTTTTGCATTCCTTTGCCGATCCGAGAGGCGAAAATTGCAGTGGCAGCGTGTTTTTCCTCGCACGGAGCACAGGTGGAAATTTATACAGTGCTCCGTGTTGCCACGCCCCCTAACACACTAACACTTACATCCTTACACGGCCAGACGTTCAAATTATTTGAGGATTTGTTAAATTTTTCGGTATTTTTTCGTCCACCTTTCCATTTGGAGCATTTTATTTTTATACAATTTGTCGTGGCAAGGCGAACAAAATGGGACACACAAGTGTCTGTTAAATGGTAGTTTAGGCCGAGGGGATCGCTTTTTCGCTGGTCGGGTGGCCTGGTCGGGTTCAAGGCTCCTTTTATTTTTCAGGCTTTCAGGTGGCCCTTTTTTTCCACTTTCTATCGCGAAAAGACCTGGCGACTTGTTGACCTGTAAATAACTAGAGTTTAACGAAGAGATTAACGTTCCAGATTCGTTGCTGGAATTTTATACAT